TAGCTTTTGTCAGTTTCGCAAATTTTGTCAGGTTCACAACTTTGTCAAGTTTGTCACCTTTCACATATGGGCGGATTTGTGTAATTACTGTTTATTTTGACGCGCCCCAAAATTTAGGTAACACAAAATGTGGGGTGAGTCAGCTAGTTGACAACCAATAAAATTAAAGATAAAATTTACATAAGTTATAGAAACGTATACTAAAACAATTACTTAAAGTCACATAGGAACGTTAAATAGTTTACTAGACCTGAGCCTAAATTGAACTTTCCCAAAACTAGTTCTATAATCTTGTTTGACTGGCTAATTTATGTGATCCAATATACTGATGAATCCAAATTTATTAGTTATGTATATACGTGTTCCAAACGCGCCATACCATACAAGTCTCGAAGCAATGGATAGTTATTCTTGTGGTTTTTGTGTACATGGCGATGATACCACGCTTTGTGATGGAACCGATTGTTACTAAGCAGCCAAAGATGAGGTCGTTACCGAAGATGTAAACGTATCTCTACCACAGCGTATGTTACTTATGACGCATACATCATATATTATTCTTTTAGCAGCTGTGACAATATTAACGCTATATATTTCTAGTTAGCATATTAGAAAAAAAAACTTGACCTGGTAATTGGAACCGAGCAATTAATTATATGAAACCCGATTCTAAATTTATTTTATTAATCTTATCATTACCTGAGTATTCAAATTTAATTTATATATTATTCTAATAATGTGGTTAGGGCGACAAGTTTAAAATTGGATTTTACTTTTTTTTTAAGAAAAAAAAAAAAAAATTATATAATAAAGTATAATATATATATATATATTCGTATAATATTTATGTAAATGTTAATAATTAAAAAATCTTATGTAAAAAAGTTAGCGAATATGACAAATACTCAATAAAAGCGTGCAGCAGTAGTTTAATTTGAAATGAACAATGCAAACATTCTCGGATACCACATCGCATAAAGAACAGAATTATCGTCTTTTATTAAATGCTTTGTAAAAAAGCATGTTCATCTTTTTTAATCCCAACCCCATTCTTCCATTCTTATGGAAATGACTAATTTAATATGATCTTGGCCAGATTCTACCTTGACAGATTTTTGAAAATGAATAAATGCCTTATGCTTCTCTTTTTTAACTCTGAGCCCATAATGAGCAGATATATTCATTTTAAAAGCATAACACATCACAGATTTTTGAAAATAAATAATTGTTTTATTTTCATCTTTAACCATAAATCTGTCTCGATAACAGGCACCAGTCTGAAATGTTCCGTTAGAATTTCCCTTGTTGGCAGATGTTTGAGAATAAACAAATAGCTTGCGCATATCCTTTTTGGTTTCTAATAGACCATTTTGCGTGAGACAACAAAAAATAAATTAATTTTCAAAAATATAATCACAAACAATAGTGTCATACCATTAGCCACTCTTCTTATTCTCCAAGTCGAAAGACCGTTGGTCCAAATTTTATTCAGCTTCCACTGTAGAAAAAAAAATAGACATGTAGACACAAATCAAATAAATGTGAGTAATAATTAAATACGCTTTGGAATATGACAGTACCTGAACTGATAAATCTTCTACATCTACTCTTGTAAAGCAACATGTTAAATTAATACATTTAAATTCAAATAAACGAGTGTGCATCATGATAGATAGTTATAAAGATCCGAATACTTTCAATGTGAGATGCTAAGAAAAATCAGGGCCTTGAATAATGAATCATATGACTTGGTTCTTGATTCTTAGTAAAAAATTACGCAGATCTTTTGCACGAATTGAATACTGCCTTTAGTGCCCAAATCTTATTTTTAAAAAAAAAGGCAATCGCGGCTGATGCTTAGATTGCTGAAGCTGAGACCTGGGAGCTCTGTTTAAATCCTGTAAATTCTAATATAATACTAAAAAAATGCTCCTAAAGAATTTCAAATTTTCATATAGAAATGAGATCAATTCTCGGCTTTAGCGGATCTCAAGCTTAGCTTCGACATTAATTAATAAAACACTTACATGTTGACAATTTTATAATTTTTGTTTATATACATCCATAAAAAAAAAGCTATCCACCGTTAAATCTTAATGTAACTTATGAATGGGGTGCTAACGTGAGAATTAATAATAGCAAGCTTGACGACGCTCTATCGTCTATTGTTTAACTGCAAGAATTAGTATATAATGATAACTAAAATTTTAAAAAAGCCTAGCTCATCTACATCACCTGCTAT